TAGGGTCTTTAGAGGTGACCCAGATACCTGCACCTTCTGTTTTGACTGAGTGAAAGTACTATTTGGATTTTTTGGATTTTGTAGTAGCTTATGTGTATATATTACATGTATTAGATTAATTATCTGATGTTGAATTTAAGTTCTTGCATGTTTAGAATGTTTCTGTTTAGATTAGCATTTAACAACATAAGCTCACTGTTATATATTCATACATTCCGTTCCGTATCACTGAAACTAATCTCTTTTGTTTCAGCTTAACCCTTTGTCATGATCTATGGGAGGAATTAATTTCCATTACCTCTTTCAAGGCTGAAGTTGAACTTTTCATATAACATTACCTGTTTTGTTATAGACTTGTGATGTCGCTTTTGTCAAGAGGAAGTGCTTTGGACACTGGCGTACATACCGCGGTCGCAGGGGTCGCAGCTGCGACCGGGCCCGTCACTCCAGGAGGCCAGGCCGCCCTGCGGACCCCTGCGACCATGTGCGCGCCACCATCTTTTGCGGGCCCAAATGGATATGGATTGTCAGAGGGCCTGGTCAGCGCTGGGCGCTTTAACAGCGCGACTGGGCCCCCTGTGATGACATCACAAGCTGGGAGGAAGTGACTGCATGTCACTCCTCCCAGCATACAGAGAGCCCGTGCTGGAGGAAGCAGATGGAGTCAGAGTGGGAACTCTGACTCCCATCCACCTGAGCCACCACTGAACCCCAGGGAAAGTCACCCTCCTGCACCTAAAGGTAGGACACAGGAGGGTGACTTAAACATTTTATGTGTGTGTGTTTGTTTGTTTGTATGTATGTATGTCTGTCTGTGTGCCTGTATGTATGTATGTATGTATGTGTGTGTGTGTGTCTGCATGTATGTATGTGTGTCTGTCTGTTTGTATGTATGTCTTTGTATGTATGTGTCTATGTGTCTGTATGTGTCTGAATGTATGTGTCTGTCTGTGTGTATGTGTGTGTCTGTCTGTATGTCTTTGTGTGTGTCTGCCTGTATGTATGTATGTGTGTGCCTGTCTGTTTGTATGTATGTGCCTTTGTATATATGTGTGTCTTGTGTGTGTGTCTGTCTGTATGTGTCTGTATGTTTGTCTGCCTGTGTGTATGTGTGCCTGTCTGTTTTTATGTATGTATGTGCCTTTGTATGTATGTGTGTCTTGTGTGTGTGTGTGTGTCTGTCTGTATGTGTCTGTGTGTTTGTCTGCCTGTGTGTATGTGTGCCTGTCTGTTTGTATGTATGTGTCTTTCTATGTATGTGTGTGTCTGTCTGTCGGTATGTATGTGTCTGTGTGTGTGCCTGTCTGTGTCTGTGTGTCCGTCTGTATGTGTGTGTGTGTGTGTCTGTCTGTATGTATATATGTGTGCCTGTCGGTATGTATGTGTGTGTGTGTGTCTGTCTGTGTGTATGTGTCTGTATGTATATGTCTGTCTGTATGTATCTATGTGTGTGTGTCTCTATGTATGTATGTGTATGTTTGTGCGTTTGTGTCTGTCGGGAGGGGTGGATAGGGAGGGTGGGTAGGGGGGAATAAGGAGGGGGAGGAGGGGCACGGATCAGTTTCGCACTGAGGCCCCATGGATTGTGTGTACGCCACTGGCTTTGGCTATGCTTTCCCTCATATACACTCTGACTGTGTTCTGATTGGTTCTTTATTTCTCCTGTTTTTTTTCTTTGCTGCTATGGAGTTAGTAAAGAAAGTTAATGCAAAATATTTGCCTCCTGTCATTATTAAAATTAAGATTATTAGTACACTACGCTAGTATAATCAACAATTAATTCTTGAGTTCCTGGGCATTTCTGCTTCTTAACCATTATACTATATTCTAAATAATCTATCCACTAGACTGACTTGAATACTTAAAGAAATTTTTAACTCAATACAGTCACTGTGAAATTCCCAAAATTCTAATAAACTTCACAATAGTGTTATTTAAGTGTATCTGCCTTTACCTAAATATGTTATAAAGTGCTCTATTACATTTATTTAACTTCCCCACATTCCTTTGAGTAGATATCTACTAAATCTTTATTTACAGTTAGTTATCTTACCCTGATTTTAGTATATCTTCCAAGAAAAGCTGAGTGACCTAATTTACTTAATATCTAAAGCCCTTTTCTTATTATATCTTAATACTCCAAAACTTTAATCATGTATATTTGTGCAAGTGGCCCATAGAAAGAGAGAGAGGAGGGAGAAATTTTTTTCTTTTAATTTCAATCACATTTTGCTAATTCTCCTATTGTATAGTGTTGGTGTTTTTCATCCATACAGCTTTTCTGTAGAGTCAAAATTTTCCATTCTACCATTTCAATTGACTCTCAATGAAGTGGGGAAACCCCATCTATAGCTGATATTCTTTTGTCTCAAAATAATCAAATTTGAGTTAAAGTTTTTTTCTCCAAACTCTAGTGAGATATGAGAAATCTTCAAAAATGCTTAAATTCGTGAATTTATTTTCCAGAGCAGGCTTATTTCTCATTGCAGCCATAATTCTCTACTTGGTGTGAAGAGATTAATTTTTGCAATTACATCTCGTGAGTAGGAATCTGGAAGGTTTTGAGGTTTGGGCAATCGGTGACATCGGTCGATTAAATAATCATGTGGTTCTCCATCTGGGATTAGGTTTTTAAAGAATTCCAAAAGGAAGCCTTGTAACTTATTATTTGTAATTGCTTCTGGAATATTACAAATTCTAATATTTGATCTTCTGGACCTATCTTCGATGTCATTTAATTTGGCTTCCAGTATAGCTATTTTGCTCGTCAAGCATGAAGTGATGTCCTGAAGCTCATTATGCTGTGTGCTTCCTGGATCGTATGGATTCTGTACAGATTGTGCTGACTTGAGAACAGACTTTGAAAATGGAGGTTAAAAAAGTAGAATTGAAGAAAAAGCTTCAGTTCATGTCAGGCGCATTTAAGGCCTACATTTTGGAGGTTGGTTCTCAAGTTGCTTTAAAAAAAAAATCTTCAAATTTGTAATTAGAAAGAAGTACAGTATGTTTCTCAGAGAATAATAAAGGCTACAGACGACAACAGAAGTACACAGTGTAGAACATCCCCACTTAATATGAAGAAGGTGTTCATCAATTACGTGAGAAGAGAAAGGATTTGAAACTGCCAAAAAAGAAGCATCCAAAATCCAAAAAGGGGAAGTAGCTAATGGCCCATAAAGACATGGGAGGAAAAAGTGTAAAGAAAGAATAGTTTAGAAAAATATGGGAAATGGAAGAAAAAAAAGGGGAAAGGGTAAATACATATGTTGAAATACAATTGTGTATTTATAGAATAGTTATAACTTCTTCTATCAAGAGGGCGTAATGACACCTAAGACCTAGCTTAACCAGAGCATGCCTTGACGTGCCTATAGTGCCTCATTTTGAGTTGCTTTTTTGGGTAAATAAACATAACTTATTTATTTGTATATGAGTTCAGTTTTTTGTAATGAACCTAATCATAATTTAATATGCAATCATTACAAAATATCTGTACTGAATTGAGTTTCTGCATTTTAGCTCCCTATCAATAATTTTTATAAGTGCTGCAATTTTCTGTCATTGAACACAGTATGTGGTATATTATGGTATACATAAGCAGCAATACTTTTTTGTTGTTGTTCCTTTTACAATGCAGTGTACATCCTGGTTGTGCAGTGATAGAATCAGATTGTTTTGTAAATGACTAAATCTTTAATTTACATATAAAAGACAGTTTGGCTTGATGAACAAAGGTTAACACAAGTTAAAAGTTATTTTTTTTGTTTTGTTCAGTGATGCTTTAGTTTGCTTTGCTTTTAAGAAAAGTGTTTGTTCCTCTTCAAACTTTACTAATGTCCAGTGCAGGTCATTAAAGGATCACTATAGTGTCAGGAAAACAAATCGGTTTTCCTGACACTATAGTACCCTGAGGGTGCCCCCACCCTCAGGGACCCACTCCCGTGGTGTTAAAACCCCTTCAGTTACTCACCTTCTTCCACCGCCGGGCTCCCTTTCCTCTCCTCCCCCGCCGACGTCAGCGGAATACATATGCACGGCAGTGCCGCGCGCGCATTCAAAGTGGCCATAGGAAAGCATTTTTCAATGCTTTCCTATGGACGCTCTGCGTGATGGAGGCATAATATGCCTCCAGCATCATAGATGCGCCTCTAGTGGCTGTCCGGAAGACACCAAACTAGGAAAAAAAATCCTTCCTGACTCCAGAATTGCAGTTCAATTTATCCCTGGATCAAGAAGCTTTTACCCCACAATTGAAAAATATATCCTTGAATATTATTTTTTGCAAGTATGCATCTAGTTGCTATATAAACATCTGTACAGACTCTGATAAAACCACATCTTCAGGCAGAGAATTCCACATCCTTATTGTTCTTACTGTAAAAAACCTTTCCTTTGCCTTAGACTAAATTTTCTATCTTACAGTCTAAATCCGTGACCTTGTGTAGTTTTTCTAAACTAAAGAGGTTTAAATTTGTTAACCTTTCTTCATAGCTAAAATGTTTCATTCCTTTTATTCATTTTGTAGGGCGCCTCTGCACTTTTTCTAGTGAATGCTTAATTCAACTTTACAAACATGTGAGAAACTTAAATGTACAGGTAACATAGATATATAAGGTGGAATAATCAATATTTAATAATATTGAATCTTTAAAGTTTCTATAAATTGGCTAGCATATTATATATATATATATATATATATATATACGTATATATTTGTGTATATATATATATATGTATATATATGTGTGTGTGTGTGTGTGTGTGTATGTAGAAATTGTATTATAAAATGCTTCCATGAAATACACTTGAAAAGAAATATAGGGGCGTGGCTTGCCGGGTTATGGAGTAGGACGCTTGCTGAGACAGCTGCACGGCTCCAACCCACCAAAGCCCTAATAACATTAGCCAAACAGCACTAACCTGGGAAAATGGGGAAGACAAGACATCCCATGACTCCTGGGCCCACACACGGATGATCTCCGAGGTCTACCACGGGGCCGATGGACGGATATCTGTCCGCACCCGACGACCTACGAGCCACAAGGTGGTCAGACAAAATGGCGTCGTACTCGCCCGTAGCTGACAGCACAGCGGACTCCCAGTGCAGCCTGGCTAGAAGTGAGACACTCACTCAGATTTCAGCAGAGCTGGCAGCAATCTCTGCAAACATGCTCACCATTTGTGATAAAGAAGAGTTGGTGACGGAACTTCAAGCCACCATACAAGAGGTAAGGAGAGACCTGACGGCCCTAAAGAGTCGGGTGGATGACCTAGAAGCAGAGCACCCCCAGGCAGAGCACACACAACAGGCTGCAGAACTGGCCACAGCTCAACAGGGTAATGTACTGCTGGAATTACGAATGCAGGTAGAGGACTTGGATAACCGCGGGTGGCGAAATAACATCCACATCCGCGGCCTGCCAGAAAAACCCGATGAAGCCCTGAGCCTGTTCATGGGCCTGTTCACACAAAGACTAGGGGACTCCGCGCCAGATGACTTTGGCATAGAGTGAGCTCACCGCACTCTCAGGCCACCCCGTGGAGACGGACAACCCCGCGATGTCCATACACTACCTAGATGCAGAAATCTTGCTGTTCCTGGACCTCTCTACTCTAACACTGGAGGCTTGGAGGGCCCTAAGACCGCTAACAAGCCTGCTACAGGACAGAAGGATCTCATACCATTGGGGGTTCCCGTTTAGCCTGCAGGCCAGAGCTGGGAATATGTGTCACTCAATCTGATGGCCAAACGATGTGCCTCACTTCTTAAGAGCTCTGGGTTTACCAGCCATACGGGTGCCGAACTGGATCCTCGAGGCCCCACCGCCCGCTCAGAAATGACAGCGGAGACTGAATCGAACCAACAGTCAGAAGCGAGTGCAGACCTGGCACTGCGCTGTGGAGGTCCAAACGGCCCGGAAGAATGAACCACCCAGGCACAGCACACACTGGTTTCCTAGCTTGGTTGGCCCAGTTGGGCCTAGTTCATTTACCCCCCTGAAAAGCAATGGACAATAGTGCAAGAAGGACACCAGACCACGCAGCCAAAGGTATGCCTATAGACAACGTCCAGGGACATACACAGCACACAGGTATAGGACACTTTGGGGAGGGGGAAGGGGGCAGGGACCTCGGGGACTGAAGTTGGGGACCTCACCAGGCACAGGGAAACTAAGCACCTACCCAAAGTAAGGGACCCACCCTGTCCCAGGGGGCTTGACTATGACCTACCGCCTGAGACCAGCACAAAAGCCCAGCCAACTATGGCACAAGAGAAGTTGTGGGGACTTGTATGGAGCTAACAGGGTAGGGTACAGGGGAGGGGGCCAAGGTAATGAGCACAAGGTCCCATAAAGCTACCCGCACCACCAGACACCAGCATAACGAATTCATGAGCAAATACAAGTTGGGTATGGAAGGGAGGGCCCCATACACCTGGGAACTGGAGACAGCAGCGTGCATTGCAGCAATGCCCCCCAAGGTTCAGCTCAAACTCTCCGGCACTACGCCAGGGTACACACCAGAGATAAGACAGTCCAGAATGGGGGAGGAAAGTGGAAGGGGAGCACTAGGGAAGGGGACGAGAGAGGTGGGGGGTCAGGCGCTTAGCTTCCATGCCTTAGACTCGGTAGGGAGGGAGGAGCAGGGCTCACAAAAGAGAACATAGCGCTAAGGCAACAGTAGAGGTGGTCATCAAGGGTACTGGCAGCGGAAACCGGGCGGGATGGGGGGCTCAGGGGAGAGGGGAGGAACTGGGCCCGGCCCAAAAAGTGGCCCTAGCACACCACCTGTACAGAGTGCACCCAACCCAGACAGAAAGTCAGAGGCAATAGGCAGATACCAGGCAGAGGCAGCAAGGCACTGGAGTCAGTACCTAACATAGAGGCCCAGGGAACTGCCATGTAGGGACAGGGCACGTAAGGCAAGAAAGCAGAAAACTGGGGGCTCTTGAGCAGCGCTATTCACCTGCCATCCACAGGTTACAAAAGTTACTGTTTGACATCCGTGCTTCCGCTGGGTGGGCTGGACACCGGGGGACAAAATCTTTCACTCCAGACTCGCAGTATAAATATGATCGGAGCCCGAAGAGGCACTAGGAGCCACCGACAACACATAGCCACATTCTTAGAACAAAACATCACCCGTAAGCTAACAAGGGAGACAGCGCACGGCCCTTAAAAATTCTAAAACACACCGAGCGCCTGATGGCCTATCACTATGATACATTTGCACATTCCAGGATATACTACTCCTGAAGCTACTGCTGGGACTGAACTCCCTCTGTAAAGGGGGGCAGTTCCCTGCAGACACCCTAGCAGTGACGGTGACAATAATCTCCAAGAAGGGCAAGGACCCAGCCAATTGCGCAAACTGCCATCCAATCTCCCTCCTAAACACAGACCTTAAGCTGTTTGCCAAGGCGATGGCTATGCAGATATCCCGATTGATCCTGGACCTGGTTCGTGCCGGGTAGAGAAGTGAGGGATAACACGAGCAGAGCACTTGGAGTAATCCAGTTTGCTCGGTCAACCAGGAGAGAGGCCCTGCTCCTCTCCATGGACGCTGAGAAGGCCTTTGACGAGGTGGACTGGGAGTACCTTGCGGCAAAGATTCAACACATGGGATTTGGCCCACATTTCAGAACATGGGTCACTTCACTATACACAACTCCTATGGCGAGAGTCCGAATCAATGGTGCACTCATGGACCTATTTGCCATCCGCAATGGCACCTGCCAGGTCTGACCCCTGTCCCCTCTCCTGTTTGCTCTCTCTCTGGAACTGTTTCTACGCGTGGTCCGAGAGGACGGGGGAATCACAGGGTTCCACACAAAACAGGGGGAGGACCGGGTAGCCGACCACATAAGCCGACGACATGTTATTTTTTTCTGGAGAACCCAATGGTCTCCCTCCCTAACCTCTTGCAACTCTTTGAGCGGTTTGGCCAGATATACAATCTCAAACTGAACCTGGACAAATCAGAAGCCCTGGCAGTCACACTACCACAAAATCTAATCACGCACTTACTCATGCAATTCCACTTTAAGTTGAACAACATCAAACTTCGCTACCTAGACACGTGGCTACCTAAAAACCCTGCACACATCTACACAATGAACTTCTTCCCCTTTCTAAACACACTGCAAAATGATATGCAGCGCTGGACTGGGCTATATATATATCTTGTGGTTTGGTCGCATAAACGCAGTAAAAATTAACATTCTGCTGCGACTCTTGTATCACTTCCAAACGCTGCCCATGGTAGTGCCAAGAGCCTTCTTCCAGTTCATAACATCAGCGATTATGAAATTTGTGTGGAATGGTAAAGCCACACGAATACGACACACCCAACTGACACTCCTGAAGCACTTAGGTGGGTCTCTCATCCATAATCCTGTACTACCAGGCCGCGCATCTGCAAAGGATGGTGGACTGGCACGTCAGAACCCCAAAAAAGCTCTGGGTCACAATGGAGACCCAGTACTCAGGTGACGTCTTACCACCAAAGCTTTGGCTCAGTTAGGCAACATTTACACAGTTAAAAATGGGCAATCCAATGATAGATGCCATGCTGAGTGTATGGTGCTCAGTTAGATACACACGATGGCTGACTACATCCCACTTCCTGCTGATCCCTCTGATACACAACCCACAGATCTGGCAGGGTTCCAGGGTACAAACTGGATGTATATACGCCAATAGTGCATGGACACATGACTCAAAACCCTTGTGGACCTAATCCCCGACCGACAACCGAACACAATGGAGAGGTTCCGATATCACCAGATACACACATACTATACAACACATAAGGACCAACAACAATTTCACAGAATCCTTAAACAGTTTGAGAACTATTGTACGGCTAAGGAAAACTTACAGAGGGGAGTATCGACCCTTTTTGCCTTATTAATGATGGGTGAAGACAATCGCCCAGCACCATTTCTTCACCAGATGGGAAAGGGAAGCAGGAGTAACACTAACAGAGAATGAGTGGAACAAAATATGCACCATAACACACAAATGCTCGATAGGAGTGAAGTACCAGGAGCTAAGTTTCACACTCCTGACCTTGTGGTACAAAGCGCCAGGTGTGCTGCATCGAATTAACCCTGATACACCTGAAACCTGCTGGTGGTGTGGGGAGGGGGTGGGGACTAACGTACATGTGTGGTGGTCATGCCCGGTACTGACCCCATTCTCGACAATGGTAAACACGAAGACATGAGAGATCACGGGCACAGACCTCCCGCAGCTGCCCTAGTCCCAACTCTGTGGAAGCTGAGTGGTGTGCCAACTTTCCAGCAGTGGATGGCCAAGGTGGAGGAGATACACAGCATGGCAAGCATGACAGCAGACCTTAGAGGCCAAACAAACAAATGTGTCCTGAAATGGTTCCCATGGACGAACTTTGTTCATAAACGGGGAACACTAACCTAGGCACCTGCATAATACAGCACGGTCAGGTTGAAACAGACGGGTTATGGAGGGCAACCCTAATTAGACCAAGGGAGCTGAACCACCCCCTTGTAGAATAGGGGGCCACCCGGGGTGCCCACACATCGGATCAGAAGTACCAGACAAAGAAGTGCCGTGCCAGGAACGGGGGTGTAGGGGCGGTGGCCAAAACAGCCCACCCCACCATTTTTTTTTTTATTTCCCCTTCTTATTTCTCCTACACCCCCACATTTCACCACCTCATCTTCATATCCAATTAGAAATAACCACACCACACTATCCTACGCATGACACCATTGGCATACAAAATACGTAGCTGAAACCTGAGACCAATATACAGGAAGGCATAGCAGTTAGAGAAGGTTTACTATCTCAAACCAAAGGTTGATACTTGAGGTACTGCTAGTAACACAAAGACCCGCTAAACTCCTTGAGAACTAACACAAACCAACCAAAGGGAGGGACAGGGGTAGGAGGAAGGGAAGGGAAAGGAGAAGGGAAGGAAGAGGAGGGAAGCAAGTAAGTGGATTCATAAGCTCAAATACTTCTGCTGTATGCGCCTGTATGTTGCAAAATACTGTTACAAATGTACCTGTATTACTTAACGATAAACAGAAAATAAAGATTGTAAAATAAATAAATAAATAAATAAATATATAGAATATATAGTAAGGTGTTTCACTCAAAAGAATGCAATTGTTGAGTTATAGCAGATTCCATATAGTTTTGGTATTTTTACAATATGAAAACAGGAAGGGAACATTTGGGAATGTGATATTTTGGGACTGAACAAGCTTGGTTGTATTTCTAGCTAGTATTTATATCATTTTACTTCTATAAAAATGTTAATGTTACTATCATGCAACCATATTTATTATTTGAAGAGGAATTTACAGAAACATACCTCTATTTTCTGCTGTGTCCTAGAGATTCTGAGAGGGGAGATTACAATGAACAATGGAAAAATCAATGGGATTCCTATTCCTATTCCTAAGAAAAATAATTATTTTAAAGCAATTTAGGTAGAAAACTTTGGGAACGAGTGTTATCTAAAC